CTGTAAAATGTAGTGGAGTAAAAGTAGAAAGTATCCATTATTAAATCTACTTAAGTAAAGTACAGATACAGGTTCCTTCCCGCCACTGGTTTCCACCAGGCGTCCACTCACGGGAAATGTGATCTATGTTGGAAGAAATGGATGCAGTTTGGAAAGTGTTGTAGCCAAGACATAAAAGACACTTCCTTTCATTTTTCCTTCACCAGATTATTCACACACCTTCTGATCTGTGCCGTCACTCCAGTCTGCTCAGCAAAATTTGACTCCTCAACACAGCAATAAAACACCTTCCTAGTTTTCAGAAATGAATGACTAACAGCTCCTTGGCAGGAAGACATGATGTAAAATAAAACTGATGTTTCTTGTTTTGTGATTGTGGCGGCAGATCTCAGGTTTGTTCATGCCTTCTCATCAGCAGGTCACTTAAATCAGTCATAAAACAAAGATTAAAGCCATCGAGTGATTTGTGGTGATTATTGTTTACAGCTGGTCTCTCTGATCCGCTCTGTCCTCTGAGTCTCCAGCAGTGAGTCTGCAAAGAAAAACATGAGCTTTTTCTGTCGCTGCCTTCGTCCTCCTCAGGCCTCCTTCACAGCCAAATGTTTGCTTCTCATTAAGTTTCAGCAACAGCTGGATTTCCTGACATCATGTTGCCCTGCTGACTGCCATAAAACAGAGATGAGTGACCCAGTTCAGCTCATTCTGAGTCTGTTCTGTTAGATCTATTAGAGTTTATCCTGAGGCTCCCAGTAGCTTCGTTTGGACTGGAACTATTAACACTTCAAACACCAGTAAAAACAACTTTAAATCTATTCTGAAACACACAGCATGATGCAGAATATGTTGCTGCATCTGAATTTAGTAATGCGACAGAGCTGTAGTCTGCTTAGTTGGACCAGACGGCCCAACTGGTCATTTACCAGTTCAGCTGGAATAAAATCCAGTTTCATTGTCTGCCAGTTGAGCCTAGAGGTCAGGATGTCCTGCAGATGATCAAATCTATTCAATTCCACATTTTAATACGATGCCCAAATTGTGGATTTGGAGTCAAACTGAAACTGAGGTCTCAGAGCTCGTTGCCATGGGAACCATATCCCCTGATCAGGAACTGAATTAAATTGAACTGAACTGAATGAACTGAACTGCAAACTGCAACCGTCCCCAACAGCCGCCACGTCACGCCGACTGAACGATGCTGTTCTTTCCGGAGCCATTCTGGTTTTCAGCCGTTCTCAGTCCGTTTCTGTGAATCGGCACTGGGGTGATGAATGTCTCTGAACGCTGCGATCCTCTCAAACGTTTTATTGGCTGTTAGGGAGACAGACCGCTGAATTCACAGTTTCCTGCTTTAAATCTTTCATTCTCATCTGTTGCATTTGCAGTTGTCTTGAGTGTGTTGTCAATCATTTCTTGTTCCTGAGCTGAAATAAACTGCATGAAGTGTTTAAAGATGCTCTGGGTCCCTGCTGATGATCCCTGCAGCTGGACTTTTGGCCCCTCAGGCATTACTGTGAAACGACGAGCTGCCAACTACATCACTTCCCCACATGTTATTTTAGCCTTTTTAGGTCGGACTCCTCAGCTTTAAGCGATTCTCTCTGTGACGTAAAAGGAGGAATATTTAGGAAAAGAACCAGTGAACAAGATTAGTTGATCAAACATGATTCACTGAACAGACTTGGAGAAAAAAATGTCACATTTTGATTCGAACCTGAAAACTTTGATGTGTTTGAAGATTTTATAATAAACTGAAAACAACTAAAATGTTATTGCATATCTATTGGTGTAAGCAAGACTGAGTCAAATAATTACAACACAACTGTTACCATGGAGACGTTTTCATGTAACAAGAAATCTTCCTCCTTGAAATAAGCCTCTGGCCATCATGATTCATCTGAACGCCTGCAGCAGCTGAAGCAGCTGAAGCTCCTCGATTAGACCAGGGTCTGACTCCCTTCAGATACTTGGACTCCAGATCTGGTTCTTTCCATTCTGATCTAGATCCCCTGATCTACGTTAGAGCGTAGATGCTCCTTCACCAGATCAACACCCTCACTGCTGCAGAAAGTCTTCAGAAGCATCTTTTTAATCTCCAGTTTGCAACAATAACAGTAAAACTCTAACGTCTTTAGGTGTCTGGTGTTGAGATGTCAACATGTTGCTCTCTCTCCTGATGGGCAGAGAACCATAGAGATATAATTCAGAGAAATATTTCAGGATCAGCTCAGCTTTGCTTAAACTTTAACTGAACCAAAGCAGTGGAACAAAATGGCTCCATTTTACAACACTTGGACTTAAATTGCTAAATATATATAACTTAGCATTTTCAAGCAGTCTCAGACAGTCTTAGTGATGGGATTGTTGAGCAATCTAATGGCCAGAGGGAGAGTCTGGGTAGGGGGCGGAGCCCCAGTGATGAACTTTTGTCATCCAAACCTTTCAGGTGAGACGGCTCCCTTTGAGAAACTGATTCCGCGATGGAGTCTGGAGTATTGGGAACGCTTTGTTGGCTTCGTTCCTTACAGCCAAATGAAAACGCTGCAGGCAGTCGACATCTTCCAGCCCACAGGTGGTCCGCCCAATCGCTGCAGCAGATGATGTGTGGAATCTTCAGAGACAAATATCTGCCTCTAAACTATTCCCCCATTTGGGGAAGGGAGGGACTTTGTGCCTCTATATGTGCTGCTTGAGGAGTAGCTTCCTCACTGTTTGTTGATGGCAGGAACCAATCTAAACTGGATCAGAACAAATAAAAGTAGAATACTTTAGTGTTCAGAGATCAGCTGGTGATTTGGCCGCCTTGATTCAGGATAAAAGGGATTTATGATTTACAAGTTTCCTTCACGTGACGGATTCTTAAAGTCTTTCTGTCGTCCAGCTGAAGTTCATGAAGGATCCATCTTCAGGCTGCAAACCGGCTCAAATCTGGAGCCTCAGCAGGCGTTCTGCTGGGAAATGAGGACAAATTCAGATGAAGGCAGTTGGCAGATAGGAAGGATTTAAACTGTTTGTTGACTGTGAATGAACCTCAGGATTAGGGTCAGCGTGTTGAGTCTGGAGACAGTGACTGGGTCAGAAAGGATCATTCTGAGATGTTTTCATGGAAAGGTTTGGATACTTTTCCTCTGACTTCTGTGAAGCAGCCAGAGTTTCTCTGAAATCGTGGAGAAAAACAGTTTTCAGGATTTTCTGAAGTTTTAAAAACTTAAATGTTTGAGATCAATAAAGAAATAAACAAAGAAACTGCACCAAGATGACACCCTGACCCTCATAACTGGATGTTCTTCCTTCTGATAACTGATAACATCCCTGAGGATGACCTTTGACCCACACTGTTCTGCTGAACTGACTTTATTCAGACAAAGAAAAGGTTCTCCAGCAAAAGTGACCTGGTTAAGGTCATCCTGCAGCATTTCAATTGGAATTAAGTCCAGACTTTGACTAGGCTACTCTAAAACATTCAGCTGCTTGGGTCTTTTTTGTTTCCTTAGTGTCCAGAGGCAGACCTGCAGATCCCAGGTGATATTGAGTTTAAGAACATAAACACTGACTTGTTGTGCATGGAAGACTTCCTGTTCGTCTCTGAGCAACGCGACTGCAGGTCTGGCCAATCGTTCAGAGGACTGGAGGT